GTTCAAGTTAACCGTTATCTTTCCTTCTTATCCATATCAACTATCTCTTAACTTAACCCTCTACCTCCAGTGGTCCCAGGCCCTGCAGAAAGTGAATCTCACTGTAAAAAAAAAAAAAAAAAAAAAAAAAAAAAATGTATATATATCATTATTCGGTATTTTTTGGCAAAACCATATTTTAGCGTCGGATTGAATTTTTATAAAAAAACAAATAATGGTAAAATTATATTCCCAAGAACAAATTCCTTATAAAATAAATACAGTGTAACCCGGACATAAGAAAAACCCGGATATAAGAGAGATTTTCTCTGGTCCCTAATTAGAGCCTGTGTTAATGTATATAAAATAGACCAAACCCGGATATAGAGGAAACCCCGATAGGGCAGACTTCTTCTCCGGTCCCGACAACTCTCTTATATCCGGGTTACACTGTATTCTGAAAACTGACTAACATTTAAGAAGACAAGAAAACTACATTCTGATCCAGATTAGATTAGAACGTTAATTAATATCAGTTAACATAATGTGCAAATTTAATATTTACTATACATACACTAGACTTCTAACTGTTTGAATAAATAAACAAAAGCTTCTCTGTACAGAGATAATACAGATAATCTCTATGGAACCTGATTGAATCTTCGGCTGAAATATCTAGTCATACGGCTTAAATTCAATCCGAAAATAAAATACGGTTTTCCTACTTATTTTTTCTTAAATTATTTTTATGCTTTCTCGAGTATTTTAATAAAATTTAGAATCACTTTTTGATTGACATATACAGAAATATTTTTTTACCTTTTGATCAATAAGAAATAATTAATCCCTAATATTAGGTATAGTATTTTAATTAACTATTTATTTGATATTAAAAACAAGACCTTCGTTAAAAAAATTCCAACATCTTAGGACTAATATACTCGCCACAAGTCAGAGGCACAAACTAAAGCTGTTGTTAGTACTTCACTTTGAATATCCTTGTTACAACTCGATTACTATAGCCGGATTTTCATAATTTTAAAAACAGATCCATTTTATCGGATTATATTTCATAGGATTGAGCATGAAATAACATTTTAACAGAACACTTGATCCACTTATTATACATATACCTTGTATTTTTAAGCATTAAGTACTAATAATAAAATATGTAAATAGAATCGCATTTTTTTAAAATTGGTCGGACTAAAAGGTAATCAAAATAATGAAGATCGAACTATATGCATTTGTCTTTGTATCTCCTATTAAACTCTGTATAAGTTCATAATCCTGCCAGTACCTTTCTGTGCGTATACACATATGTGATCATCTATACAAGTTTCCGTGTGTTCTCGTAGAAGCACAGTGCCAAATATGCGTTTACATCCCCTCCCTTCCCGTATTAACAGATTCTTGCCACTAAGAATCCACAAAACCCAATCAATATTAGCCTCTCTTTGCCAATTCCATATACAACATATTTGTCTTAAACTTTCTGTCATTATCGATGTCAGTATTACGACTACTGTTACAATGAGCCAACAATATCTTCACTTCCGGTTAAGACGCAGCGAAATCTCAACTTAATAAATCTGATATATACTTGAACTCGAATTCGCTCTAATAAATCAGCAATACATTTTCTATATATTTATATTTCTAATCATTTTAACTCGAGCAAGGCGATAAAGCCACTAAGACGCAAAGCGTTATTGAGACTGTAAGAAACTGAGAAAAAATATTGAAGAGAGAGGACAATAACAGAACAGGTTTCAAGTTGGCGACTGGCGTTATATTTGAATTTTTTAAGATTTTAGTTGACAGGAAAGCAAGAAGACGGAAGAGACTCCCACAGGTGAGAGGTACGAAAGAAAAAATATTAGAATACAACTTACGGCTGTCCCTAGCAATTTCAACATTAAATTATGATATCAAACTACCAATCTAGTACTGTAATTAAATTCGTTAAGACTAGATACTGAAGAAAAAGTAAAAGTTTCATCAGAAAAATTGCCATAAAAGCACAAAAAAGCTATGTTATGGCGGTGGGAAACTGATTGAATCCGAGATGTCAGGTCAGGGCCGATAACATTGCAGATTATTCTTTGGATTTTGTCACTAGATACATACCATAGGCTTTAAACCAGATGTAACAGCAATATTCAATGCAAGGATGAATAGTAGACTTATCAAAATGTAAAAATAGATTTTGGTGAGAAAAATCATCCAGCCATGAACCAACTTTCAAAGTTCGAATTTTCCAGAAGTAAATTGGATATACAAAATCCCGAATGTATAAACTAAAATTTCGCGTACGGCCACTGAACTGGATTCTACGGTTGAAGATATACAGTTGTTGGGGATTCTCCCAATCTAAGATACATGAAGTCTATTTGAGAATACACTTTTTGACTTATTTAAGATAAAAATGGTCTATTATGACATGTCTCTAATTTGTATTTAGATTCATTGTATTTATTTTTAATTTTTCTAGTTGAATTGCTCGCCTGTATAGCATGAGATTCATTATTGTACGTAATTGGGTTACAATACAATTTTTATTTTATACGAATTCTACCTTAGGAAAATTAAGATGCAGTAAAGTGGCAGCAGAATAGATATGGGGAACCCCGTATCATAGATTCAATGGGGACACACGAGACTCTTGCACCGGCCCTGCATGTCCCACACACCCGAGAGAACCGTGTGAACCGATCGAAATGCTTCCTGAACAAGTTAAATCACTTCGAGAAACCTGGCATCTTCTGGTTCTTCGATTAAAACGTCCACCAGGATTAGGAAAATAGAAAGATCAACAGGTGACCCCACGGAGATAAGCTAGCTGATACACTTTAAGTTCACATTGTCTGAGATGGTCTTGTTTTCGTGAAAAGCTAAGTCCAGACACATCACGCAGGTCCTCAGGACCAATGCCACCGAGGTGGGGGTCCAGAGGATGTCGTATACGTTGCGCCAGTACATCGCTTTCCCCAGAATGACCTATTTGTCATGGGAGTGGCTAGCCGAGAACTTTCACGATGTGTCCTCTTAGTTCTCCTAATTTAAATCTCCCTACAAGATCTTGTTCTTTGTCAAG